TCCCTTTCCTTTCCCTTTAGAGAACAGCTGATTCCCAACAAGTCCACCCTGTGAAGAGCAATGCCAAGGATACCCTTGAAGAGGATTACGAGAACAGTGTCATAGAATCCCAGACTGATTTGTGTTGGAAGGGGCCTTAAAGCTCATCCAGTTCCCCCCCCTGCCACGGGGAAGGACACCTTCCCCTAGAGCAGGTTGTTCCATAAGACCATTTGGAACCTCCACACCCCGGTCAGGTCCAGCCTGTGCTCCTGGAAGACAGCTCCATACATCCCACACCTCCTCCATGAGGCTTTCCTGCCCTCTCAGACCTCATCTTGTGCTTAACCCCTTGGCAGCCTGCTGAACACACGATCCGGTGCTCTGCTGCACACAAAGAAGTCATTCTGGGGAACCCTGGCTCTCAGCATGACTGAGGTTTACAGCAAAAAGTGATCCCATTTTCAGACAGATTTCCACTAATGAGCAAAGACTTGAGGACCATATGCTCTCCACAGGCTCTCCTGCTTACTGCTAGCTCCTTCCACTTTCTTCTCCGTAATGGGGAAGAGACATGATACATTTCTGTGCTCTTTCAGTATTATATTAGGACTGTTAAGCTTACCCATGTTAAATCAAAGAAATTAAAAATAACAGCAGGATATCAAACTTCATTATTTCTGTAAGACTGTGCTGTAGAGCTTGATGGGACAGCCCATGCGTGCTGGAGACCGGTGATCCCTTCCTTCTGGCTGCACAGCACTAGGACGGAGCACGGGGAACAGGGGGGAGAGGAACTCAGGATGCTTTCTATATGGAATATCTCATGATTATTCACAAATACAAATGAACAGAAACACAGAACAGCATTCCTGTACAGCTGTGTGCACAGAAACACATCCATCCTCTTACAAAACTTCCTGAGATACTGGAGGTCTCTGCATCCCGTAAGAAAACACAGAACCACTCTCTCCTTTAGTGCATCTGATCCTGTCTCTCGTATCTCAGGACAAGTGATCCTTGAAAGCTCTGCAAAGCAGGAAAAACTTCTTTATCCTTGGCAAGCTCCTAAGTAATGTATTGGAGAACCAGAGAGGCCTTTTACCTTAGCTCATGGATACAGCAGCACAGAGGTACAATCTGCATTCCTCTCTCTTTGGCTGGGTATTATTATTCCTTTTCTAGATTATATTTAGAAAACATGTGTTGGCAGTGCTCTGGAATGCTTGTTTCAAAGCTTTAGTAACAAAGCAACAGGAAATATTTCTTTGAAAAGGAACCGGGGTGTTTGTGTGAAACGCTGGGATTGATGAAACGCAGCAGTCAAAACCCAGCCCCTGCATTTACACACAAAGCACGCGAGGGGTGGGTGCTGCAGGGGACACAGCACCCAGGGGTCGCACAACACACGTAACCCTGTGTTTGAGCTTCTATGTCCCTGCATCTCCAGCTGAGAGGAGCACGCGAGTATTCAAAGTGAAGAGAGAAGCTGTGGCTGCCCCATCCCTGGCAGTGCTCAAGGCCAGGTTGGACACAGGGGCTTGGAGCAAGCTGCCCCAGTGGAAGGGGTCCCTGCCCGTGGCAGGGGTTGGAGCAGGATGGGATTTAAGGTCCCTTCCAACCCAAACCAGGCTGGGATTCTATGACATGGGGTTTACAAACACGAACCCGGTGTGAGGGTCAGAGCCTGGGACACAGGCTGGATCAGAGCCGGCAGCCACGGCTTTACAAAAGGAAGAGAAGCAGATTCATAACAAAGTTTGAAATAGTTCTGCTGGTTTGTACAGCTGCTAAAGGCAAACAAAAGTCAGAGAAACGCTCGCATGCAGCATGACACACTTGGGTTGATATGATAATAAAAGCATGATGTGACATTAATTCTCCACTTTCTGCAGAAAATCCCTGTGCAAAGCTCCTTAGTCACCAGCAGGGTTTGATGTGCAGAGCAGGCAGGCTGCACGCAGAAAGGGTTAAAAGAAAATGTTATACTAAAAGAAATCTTTCTACAAGTATAAAAAAGCAAAATGATTGTAAATTCCACCAGGGGAATTCTGCCATGAATATGCTTCACCTTTCGCAGAATCTCCCACCCTGCCTCAGAGGATAACTGACCTTTGGAGAAAAATAATGAAAAGAAGAAATTCCTTGGAGAAAATAATGTGGCCAGGCCTCAGTAATGAGATCTGCTCCCTTTATGTTGCTATGACAACCGCAGTCATTTCATAATACAAAATACATGAATGGGGAAGAGGGCCATCTCCCCTCACCCAGCCGGCGCCTCGGCACCCTTTAGCCCTCGCGCACTCCTCGCAGGACAGCAACATGTTTGGTTTGATTTGTGCTCTGCTTCACTTCCCTTTAACACACACGTGAGCAAGAAAGCCCCCTCCTTTAACGCCCTAACCACTGCTCCTCAGGCTGGTCCTGGGGCCGTGGCGGGTGCTCCGGCCATGCCATCCAGCGGGGTGCAACAGGCACGTACCCTGCTCCTTCCTGCAGCCAGCTGGAATCCTGGAGATGTCCTTGGAAAGAGTCTCCTCCTCTTGACTTAACCCTGCAGGTTTCCCACCTGGCTGAGCAGTCATACCCTGTCCCAGGCACAACTTCCTCTGCAGCTGTGCTGCATCCACGTGCAGGCGCTTATCCCACCTGTAATCAACATCTGTAACACCCGAGCCCCATTTTCATGACCTTGACTCTTGGTGTCCCCCCACCTCCCCACTGCCTTCCTGCACAGTGCCCACCAAGGCAGAGCACCGCAACCGAGCCTTCCACAGCCTCAGTAATGGGTGGCAGCAGCTCCATCAGCTGAAACACATCAGCGATGCCCACCCAGAGGATACATGCCACAGCGGGAGCCGCAGACACCTCACCCCTCTCCTCCCCATCCTACAGCTTCAGTTCTTTCCCCAGCTCAGCTAGGATCCCATGCCTGTGTGTGCCTGAGTCTTGCCTGCCCTGGCACGGTAGCTGGAAGGGGGCAGGAAGGCTGAGGTCAGGCAGTAACGGCTCTGTAAGTCATGAAGCTCTGAAAGGAGAGGCCTGGGCTTAGCCCGGGAGTCGGGATGTCGGGGACAGAGGGTGCTTATTTCCTGGATGCACTTCCCGAGTGATCCACTTCCCCGAGAAACCCTGAGGCTGCCGTTGGGACTGCGGGGCTGTGGCACAGCCACTTCCCCACAGGGGTGGTTTAAATCACACCTCATTTTGTGCGCTCTCAGGGAGGGGACGTTTCCATCACAGCACGACCAGCTCCGTGTTGCACACACAAAGGCAGTTCCTCGGTACCTCTCAGCCATGCAGGGGAAGGGGTTTTACTCCTGCAGCTCAGGTCAGACATCAGCAAAGCAGGAAGGTTTGCAGGAGAGCCTGAATGTACATCCCAGGCTTTTCCAGAGGAAGATACACTTACTCCTTGGCGTGCCGGGCTCCCCAGCTCGCCTTGAGCCACTTCTCTGTGTGAGCATGATGATGACTGCTAGGACTAAAGCCCCAGCATCAGACCAGGAGATGGAAAAGGAGAAGCCAAGGGGGAACAACGTACGGTCTTTCAGTTAATCCAGAGCTTCGGAGCGTTTCCTGTTTCCCAGGTGGTCTGCTGGGAGAGGACGGAGCTCGCCTGCAGAGTCAGCAGCACTGCCGGGAAACTGGGAGAGTGCTGGGAAAAACGGCAAACCGAGGCTTGCAAATGAGGAAAGCAGCCAGGAATCCAAGGGAAAGCAAGAGGGTGGAGAGCAAGGAGGCCAAGAGCCCAGGAGAACAAGAGGCTCCAGTCCATGCTTCTGTACAGCTCAAGCAGGTAGCAGCATGGAGCAGGGTGCTGGGGCTATGGGATGGGATGGGAAGGGGCCATGAGGATAACAAACGGGACAGGGTTACTTTCATCCCCCTCTGTGCTGTGCTTTCCTGGTGACATTCCCCAAAGAACAGAGCTTAGCAGGAAAGGATGAAAAGCCAGAGGGAAACCGAGCCGCAGGCAGCAAAACCCAGACCGCTGAATCCGGCGGTCGTTCTCCAGCTCTTCCCAGGATGGTGACGTTTCCAGGAGAGGGTTTGGGGTCAACACTGCTGAGGGTGGAAGCTGAGGCAGGCTCTGCCTCCTCTCCAGCATCTGCAGCAGGCAGCACCATTACCCAGATCCCTGAACCTCCTTTTTCCATCCAGAACACTTCCACTTGCCTCCGGTGACTGAATCTGGGGAATTTGCATGTGGCAGCAAGATCCGCCTTACATCAAATACCAATGCAGAGGCTAATTTAAATTCTCTTTATGCAAATGTTCAGTAGTATGGAACAGTAATAAATCTGGGAAACCACTGGAAAGATGTTTAAGAGGACATACAAATTCCAGTCACACATCAGCAATTAGGAATCCCAGGAAGGAGAAAGCACCTGTCTTGGCCTTTAGTGAATATTATTCTCAATTAGAATATTCATCATATACACAAGACAATTCCTTCATTCAAACTTCCATAGACATGTTCAAATTACATCATATCTGCAAAACAGAGAGATGGAAGTTATCATAACCTGTCTCCAAATAAAGCATTATTGAAACTATAAATGGTCCTGTCTGAAGCTTGCTGAAGTGCAGAAGCCTGACAGATGCTGCACAGAAATATGACTGGTTGGATGATGTCTTCTGAAACAGCTTGCAGGAAAATGATCCCATTATGACTGAGGCTTTCCAAGCAGGCACCGCGAACACCCAGAGGTTCTGCTGCAGGGAGGGCCGTGCACGCCCAGCAAGGGAGGAGATGCTGCAGATGCTGCTGGCGCGGGGAGCATGGTCCCACCTCGGAGGCTGTCCAGGCGCAGCTCCCTGGCTCAGGTGAGCCATCAGCCGGGCAGCCACAGGCTCCTGCTGGCTGGAAGGGAGAACGTGAGCTTCCCCTGGTGCTGCTCACCGCGAGGAGCCGTGCTCCGAGTACGTGCCTCTGCGTGTGCGGCTCCTGAGCTCGGGGGTTACCCTTTGCCTGGGGCTACCCCGGTGCTGCAGCTCGGAACCGCTCCTGCCCTGTCCCTCCCAGGGATGCCAGTCACGCTGCCAGGTGTTTTCTAACGACAGATCAGCCATTTAGGGCCAGAGGGGTCTCGCACTCATCTGGGCTGTGTTAGGCCAGAGATCAGACCCGAGGGCTTTTCTGTGTCGGTTCCCGATACAAACCCCATGTCTGCGACAGAAGTCTCAACAGGCCTCCTCTGTGATAAGGGCTCTGCTCCCCAGGACGCGACCTGGAGACTCCTCACCTGCCCCTGCACGCCTCTTCCCGAATGATCCAGCAAGACAGAGCTGCTGCATCGCCTTTGTCACACACATCTGCTGCAGCCTCAGGTCAGTGGTGCCTGTCCTGGGGACCCACAGAGCTTCCCGAGCCCCTCAGTGCACGGACACCAGCCCCACAACCAGTGCTCAGCATCCTGCTTGGTACTGCCCTGTTCCCCCCTCAGCAGTCCCATCCCTGCCCCGTTCTCCACCATCAGGCAGCAAACCCCAGCTCCCCCTCCTCACCTTCTGCAAAACCTTGCCCAAGCTTCTCTCCTCTGGAACGTCCTCGCTGCACCAAACAGTAAGCAAGGTTGCCATTAGCAGTCCAGGAAGGATCTCGTCCTGCTCTTTTAAAATGCTTGAGCGCATATGTTAGCTGGCTCTTTAAAGGTCCAGTCTCGGTGGCCTTCCCAAGGTCTGTCAGCGAGCGTCCTCCTCAGCAAGGTCGGATTTGGGGTGTATGGTAGTGTAATATTTCTTGAAACTACAGCAAAAATGAGGCCCATTCAGTGAACGTTTACTGAGCCCTTCCAGGGCTGTGCACAGACACACGATCCCTCCCTGCAGGACCTTCACTCAGCCCCGGCAGCCACCGCTGCCAGCTCTCACCACTTGCTGCATTCGCAGATGCCCCGCTGCATTCTCCTGTGCTGTTTTATCCCTTGTCATCACTGGGAAAGCCATGGGAACGTCCTTTGATCCCTGCACTGTTCTTGTGACATTCACCTGAAGTACAGCAGCAAGGCTGAGCCCCACACCGTGACCTGTATCCCCACGCTTCCCCGCACCTTCTGCTCCCTCCCTGTCATTCCCACTACCTGTCCCTTGTACCTGCGTCAGCTCTCTGAACAAGGCCACTGCTGTGGTATGTGCAGCACAGCCAGGGTACGACCTGGTCTGAGGGCACATGAACAGTACAAATAAACACCAATACTGCTAGACACTGTGGTTTGGCAATAAACCCCATCGGCAGTGGAAGGAATCAGATGAAAAGATTGATTACCAGGCTTAGTCCTTGAAATGCAGCACCGCATCTTTAAAATATCCAGGTGCCTCCCTGGTACTTCATCCATTAGATTTTGGTCAAATTATCAGAGGTAGATAAATGAACAAGGAAAAGTTTGGAAGGACGCGGCTGTAATAAGAAGCAGTATTGATTGCCACCAAAAAGGCTTTATAAATCTTTCATGCTCTCTCTCCATCTGGACCTGCCCCGCTGAATTTCCCAACACTGCTTGTTTCTGAGGTGAACTTCAAATAAAAACCTGTTAATATGGACCGACACATCCCAGATCCTTCTCACCCTGTGGCTCAGCTCACAACAGCCCCATCACCAGCACTGCCCCTCCTCATGCCCAAAACATGGGTCACAGCACCCAGCCCTGCTGCCCACCCGGAGACACCTCTTGGTGCCAGTTTGGATGGGAGCAGCCCATAGGATGGGTTTATGGGGTGTCTGTGGCCCAGAGGGTGTCCTCTGGAGAGCAGAGGATGGGTCTGGGCTGGGTCCCTGCCATGGGGTGACTTATCACCAGCCATGACTGGAAAGCCCTGGGATGAGAAGTGCGTTGCCATAGCAGCAGTGCACATTCCTGGATCAATAAAACCAAAGCCGGGCATGGGGATGCTGGCCACAGAAACCTGTCCTGCAGGGGCATGAGGGCTTGGGAACAGCAGCAGCAGCATCACAACGATGGGGGGACAACAACAGCAAACAGGGCCCAGGCCAGGAGGGTCCTGAGCTCCCGGTCCTGGTCACCCAGCCCTAAGGCAGCCAGCTATGGCTCTGTCCTGCACGAGCTCCAGGAGAAGTCCTACTGCCCGAAGTATTGGATTTAGGGTGAAAAATGAAGCTAAGAATGTGCTTTAAGCCCTGGAGAGGCTGCCTGACTTCTCAGGGCAGCCAGAGGAAATGCATGGCATCCCACGTGCATGCCCATGAGCAGCATCCCTGGTCTCCTGCAACGTCTGCCCACCCAGCCTGGGTGGTGCCAGTGCCACCAGCGAGGTGCCACTGCAGCCACTCAGCACCAAACCCCACAGAGCGGGTCCAGCCAAGTGCCTGGGACACAGGAAGGAGCAAGAGCTCTGTGGCAGCACAGAGGGAGCTGGAGCCGGATGGTGCCTGTGATCCTGCCCACCTCAGAGATCTCCCGGGTCCCTTTGAACCATCACCTCTCGCTGCAGTTTATCTGGCTTCTGCAGGAATAGAAGATATTGAGAAAAATCAATGATAATTCATTGTGTCCTATGATTTCTAAAGGCAATTAAGGCAAAGACAAGGTAAGAGGTTAGCAAAATCTCTCATTCTTTAATATATTGTATTTTCTCATTAATTCTTTAATCTTTGTGACAAATTCTCCCAGGCAGAGGGCCAGCTTCCTGCCCACTTGAACTCTGGTGAGTTATGAGGGAAGCAGGTAATGCCTCAGCCCCACTGCTGGCAGGAGCTGACAGGCAGCTCTGGCTGTGTCCAGCGCTTCATCTTCCTTACGCATCCCAGTCACCTCTTGGGAAGCATGGGGGGCCCATGTGGGATCTGCCCTGGCACAGGGAAGTGTCACCCTGCACACAGCGTGTCCTTCTGAACCTCTGCCTGCAAGCTGCAGCAAACCCAGGGAATGGGCAAAGCTTCCCCGGGACACGAGACCTAAAGGCAGAGGGCAAAGCACTCAGTGCTCCCATGCAAAAAGAAGTCACCACTCCCCACTTCTGTCCCTGTTCATTTGCACCAAAGAGTTAATAACTGAATTACCACTAATTAGGAGTCCTATGAATGAGAACACATCGCACTTCTGTTAATCACCAATGTTTCTGTGTAACGTCTGGAAAATCAAAATTATTAATGAAGAAGTTCTTTTGGAATTCAGAGTTGAATCCCACAGATTCTGGGTATCGGCAGTCTGCTCTGCCAGCTCATCCTCACTTACTAACAGCAGAACCCCTTAATTAATGGTGAACTAATTAGAAAACACTAACTTTAAGACAGCAGTTGAAGTTCTTTCCATAGCAAAGGACTTGTCAGAGCAAAGCAGCCACGAACACCCAGTGCAGAGGGACGGGAATGGAGATGGCAGCTGCGGGACACACACACAGAATCATGGAATCAACCAGGCTGGAAAAGACTTTGAAGGACATCCAGTCCAACCCTTGCCCAGCACTGCCAAGGCCACCACTAACCTGTGTCACTGAGGGCCTCATCTACACGGTGTGGGAACGCTGCCCTGGGCAGCCCATTCCAGCGCCGGCCTGAGCTCAACACCGAGTGAGCACAAATGGATTTGGTTGAGATCTCCCTGCGCCGGTTGTGCAACCAGAAACTGCAGACACCTCACCCGGTCCAGCCCGCGCTGGTGGGGATGGGCAAGGGGCCCACTGTCTCCTTTAGGCAAGTTCAGGATGAGAGGACTGGCCATGAGGCCTCTGAAGTGCTGGGAAACGTCTCCTTCCCTCCTTCAAAACACGGGTGAGAGCTTTACCCCTAGGCAGGAGCGATGTCAACAACCAAAATATTTACCTGCTTCACGCTGTCCTATTTGTTAGGAACATTTTCCATCTCTCTGCTTAACAAAGCAGAGTTTCCCCTAAAAAAGGCAAATATTATGGCCCTTCATTCTGCAGAAATTTATTGCTATGGAGCAGAAATGCTACTGTATTCCAAACATTGGCAAGAAAGCTGGGAGGCTCCATTCCTGCCAGCTTTTAATAGGATACACATTTAAGCTGCATGTTGCTTGCAAGTTGCATGTTTATTTAAACAAGAGTTTCCAAGTGTTTAGGGACAGAGGTTGCTACAACAAGTTCTTATCATTAAAAACAATGGTGCTGAAACTTTCAGGAAGGAGAATTACAAATGGAGTCACTCTGCAGAATAAATCACTGATAAACTTTCAGCACAACTAATTTTAACCCAGGAAGAAGTCCTGCTGGGTCTTAACTCTCTCCTAATGGCTGCGTACACTCCCAGGATGGTTTGGGACCTATTATGAGATGAAATGATTTATTTAGGGATCTCAAATGCTTTAAATAAATCTTTCTTTTAGCCTCTGAATTATACTAGATTATACTCTGAATTATACTATATTATATTATGCTAGAGAGCCTCTGGCTCTCTAGCAGAGCCAGAGATACGACACTTTCTCAAGGTAACGCTACAAGGCCAGGATTACCCAAACCTTTCCAGTTGCCTCATGATAGAGACCTCTTCTGTGACTTCCAAAACATGAGGCACAGAAAAGGGTGCTCAGGGGCTGACGTTCACCTTCAGTAGCAATGATAAATGAAGCTTCCAGCTTAATTGTGCCAGGCGCATTGTCACATCCAGTTTAAACCTCACAGCAGGATGCCTGCTGCAGGAACACTGCTCTGGACACATGCATGCATGAGGGACTGTCACTTCCCAGCTGCCCGCTGGAGCCTCACCCTAGAATCAACCAAGTTGGGAAAGACCTTTAAGATCGTCAAGTCCAGCTGTTACCCAGCACTACCAAAACCACTGCATGGGTTTAATTAGTTAATTTGCTGTTACTAATCAGATCAGGCTCCAGATGCAATGACCAGTCACTGCACTGAAGCAGGATGGTGATGCAGGCTCCAGAGCCACTCCTGTGCACGTGCATCACTCCTCCATCACTGCCCATGGCCATGCTGCAAGCGCTGCACCAGGAGCCATCCCCAGCAGTCAGCTCTGGGCCGGCCGCCGAGGAACCAGAGGAGGGAGATAAGGCACCCTCTGCCACCGAGCCTACGGAAGGCTGCTGGGCTCAGTAAATAACAGGAGACTCTAAATATTATTTTTGGTAGGGATTTTCATATGAAAAAGTAAAACACCATAAATCAAGCACAATGCTACAATCACCACATACTTGTGAATAAATGCATCCCTTAGTACAGTTCAGCATAAATTATAGCCATTTGATTTAGCTTTGCAGCACAAAGCCATACCATTGAAATTCAGCCAGAATTGAGTCCACTCACATCACTACACATTTATAAAACATATTCATGATTATTGTCATAAACTCCCGAGAACTGGCTCTTGAGTTGCTTTGCCACATCATCATCTATAGTAAACAAGACTTATTTTACATTTCTCTTTTCTTGCCTGACAATCTGCCTCAAAACGCTCTGCAGAATTAATGCCCAACTTAGGACCAGATTTTCCCCAGCAAGTATGAAGTGATATCTATACGCTGTGAAGGCGCACCTCTGCACAGCCAGAGCTTTGAGCAATGCTGCAAGACCCTCTGTGGGGTACAGCACCCTCCAGCACCCTCATCTGCCCAATGGGCACACAGCCTGGAGACGAAGGGCTGGGATTAGAGCATCAAGTGGTTTCTCTTGGTACCAAAGCATTTCCTCTGCCTGCAGAGGGTTTGCTCTGTGGCTCGCTCTTTGTGCTCCACGTGGAACCCTGGGCTTCGCCAGCAGTAACGGCAGAGACAGGAGTGGCCCACGACGCACACCGTGGTTCTGAAGCTCTCAGAGTTCATCAGAGGAAGTCACAGAGCCTCTGACCTGCGCAACGCAGCCTCCACAATGATGGAGCTGTGCAGTGTCCCGCGCCCTCAGGGAGGACGGGCCCCTCCTGCTCGTGTGTGACCCAATTCATGGTTCACATCCCCCTCCAGTTTGCAAACTTTTAAAGGATTAATCCCCTCATTTCAACAAGTGCAACAACTCAATTACCCTCGTTACGTGAGCAAAGTCGCTGCGGCGCCTTTTCCTGGCAAACATCACACGCACGTAATTTCACTAAATGTAATAAACCAACCATAGAACTATTAATTTTAGCATGGTATTCATAACAATTAGAAACGCGTGAACCTTAAAATGATAAAAACTGAAATGAATACCAAAATAGCACAAAACACAGCAATCCAGCTCCTCAAACCAGGGATATCGTTGTGTGGTGCCACAGCATCCAGGAGACAGGCCGAGCATGGCTGGGAATGCTGCCCTGTGCGCTAGGGTGGGCTCAGGCTGCCTCTGCTCCAGCCAAGCCGCTGCCCAGCGCTTCCCATGGGGATGGACGGCAGCAACGAGAGTGCCGGCCCTCGGATGGGGGGTCCCAGCTTCAGGCCCACCGGGAGGAGCCCTGCCTTTCCCTGGAGATGGGCTGGGAGCTCGAGCTCTCCCTGCATCAGGGGCTGCTTCCCCACCTCTGCGAGCTCCCAGCCTGCCGCTTCCAAAGACCTGGAGATCATTCCTCTTAACTGACGGAATCCCACAGCGAGCAGCTTCACAGTTTTCTTTTCTTTTGCTCACTCTCAACAACTGAACTCCTTTTTCAAAAGTAAAGAGAAAAAGGAAAGGCAAAAAACTCGGCACAAAGCACTTGATCAGCAGCCAAAACCAACCTTTGGTATCAAGGCATTCTTGAGCTGCTTTGTTTATAGATACCAAAATACACACACACCACCCCGCACCGCTGTAACCACTTAGAGCACAAAACACTTCCCCAGAGAGCAGCCCCCTGTTACACATCACCCACCGCTGCGCTTCCCAGGACACCAACCCCGGAGCGAGCGGCTGCGCCGGGACAGGGCATTCCTGCAGGGTGGCACAGGGAAAGGCACCGCTATGGGGACAGCAGGGCCAGCCCAGCCCCACCACCCGCCCTGCTCCCAGTGTCCTAGTTCAGAGAATTCCTGACGGACTGGATGTTTCTGCATTTCCTTTTCCATTATCGCTGGATTGCCAAAATATTTGTGCAGTGATGGAATTCGCCTGCCAGGACTGGAGCAGGAGGAGGGAGCTCTGCTTTTGTCTGACCTCGAGGCACGAGAGGTTCTGGGTCCCCCCCTCTGGCAGGCACCCAGAGCTCCTCACGGGAAGAGCCCGGCTGGGATCAGCGTTCCCAGCACCCGGCGGGAGGGCTCCAGCCCCCTCCAGCACTGGGGAGCCCACTGGAGCCACCAGAACGTTCCCACTTTGCCTGGGCACACAAGGAAACTGCTGGAGAGAGGCTCTTGAAGCAAAGTATGCTAAATGCCTCCAGAGCGATGCCTCCGAGTAGGGAAAATCAAACAGCTCTGCCACCGTAAACAGCAGAGGGATGGCAGCGGAGGAGTCCAGCGAGCAGCGGGACAAACAGGAAAGACTTGGAAATTTCCAGGGTATTGTTGGAAACTCAAGACAGAACATTCTGATCTACTGCTGACTGCTTTGATGTCACAGCTCATGTTCTAAAACACTCC